TATGTCTAGTCACACCATCCATTAAATATGAAGGCAAAAGTCATTATCACACTTAAGAACTAAAAAGTTGACTTCCAATACACATATTCTGGGTAAGTTACTTGTGGATGCATTTCAGCAAAAATGTGGAAACACCAAGAAAGAGAAAGATCTAAGTACTAAAAGCAGTGGAATGAACCAAAGAGCTCAATGAAGAGTCATCCTGGGACGGCAGCAGTACAGTAGAGCTAAAAAGACGTCAAAAAAATAGAATGATTAAGGCATTGGAAATATTAGGCATCAGGACCTCCGTTCCCAAAGAAGAAGAAAAGGAGGCAGTTAGTTACATTCAGAAGTGGGCTTTTGTACAATAAGGCACAGCAAACTAAAACGTGTCATCATATTTGAGTCATATCTTGTGTCAGTTGGTAGAGTATAGAAAATCAGAGGCCTTTCAGTCATGATGTTAGGAATAGTCTACTCTGAATATGGAGGGATTGTGAACTTGGAACCATGGAGAAGGAAATAAAATTATAGTACATTACAGTCGTGCCGCATAATGACATTTCAGTCAGTGATGGTCCACATATACGACAGTGGTCTCATAAGATCAGTACCACATAGCCTAGGTGGGTAGCAGGCTATACTGTCTAGGTTTGTGTTAAGTACACTCTGATGTTGGCACAACAACGAAATCACCTAACGACACATCTCTCAGAACATATCCCCATCGTTAAGCTACGCACAACTGTACTTGATTCTGCAGTCAACATTTTTACGTCATGGAGATAACTACTTTTAGGAAGAACCAACATAAAAACATGGTTACAGATAGTTAAAATGTCTATATTACCTAAAGCAATCTACAGGTTCAATGCAACCTCAATCAGAATCCCAATGACATTCTTCACGGAAATAGAAAAAAAAATACTAAAATTCATATGGGGCAACAAAAGACCCCGAATAGCTAAAGCAATCCTAAGAAAAAAGAACAAAGCCTAGGTATCACACTCCCTGATTTCAAAACATACTACAAAGCAATAGTAATCAAAACAGCATGGTACTGGTACAAAAACAGACACACAGATCAATGGAACAGAATTGAAAGCCCAGAAATAAAACCACACATATACGGACAGCTAATTTTCGACAAAGGAGCTAAGAACATACAATGGAGAAAGGACAGTCTCTTCAATAAATGGTGTTGGGAAAACCGGACAGCCACATGCAAAAGAATGAAAGTGGACCATCTGCTATTGCCATTCACAAAAATTAACTCAAAATGGATCAAAGACCTGAAGGTGAGACCTGAAACTATAAAACTCATACAAGAAAATATATTTGACATTGGTCATAAAGGAATCTTTTCGGATGACATGCCTACCCAGACTAGAGAAACTAAAGAAAAAATAAGCAAGTGGGACTTCATCAGATTAAAGAGCTTCTACAAGACAAACGAAACCAGAATCAAGATGAACAGACAACCCACCAGCTGGGTGAGAATATTTGCAAAGCATACATCTGACAAAGGGTTGATCTCCATAATATATAAAGAACTCACACAACTGAACAACAGAAAAACAAACAACCCCATCAAAAAATGGGCAGAGGAAATGAACAGACACTTCTCCAAAGAAGTATACAGATGGCCAATAGGTGCATGAAAAGATGTTCAACATCACTAATCATCAGGGAAATGCAAATCAAAACAACACTAAGATATCACCTCACGCCCGTTAGAATGCCTATAATCACCAAGACAAAAAACAACAAATGTTGGAGAGGATGTGGAGAAACAGAAACCCTCATACACAGCTGGTGGGAATGCAACCTTGTGCAGCCTCCATGGAAAACGGTATGGAGAGTCCTCAAAGAATTGAAAATAGAAATACCCTAGGATCCAGCTATCCCACTACTGGGAATCTATCCAACGAACCTGAAATCAACAATCCAAAGAGGCTTATGCACCCCTATGTTCATTGCAGCATTATTCACTATAGCCAAGAAGTGGAAGCAACCTAAGTGTCCCTCAACTGATGACTGGATCAAGAAGATGTGGTATATATATATACAATGGAATACTACTCAGCCATAAAAAAAGACAAAATCGTCCCATTTGCAACATGGATGGGCCTGGAGGGTATTATGTTAAGTGAAATAATCCAGAAAGAGAAAGACAAACACTGTATGATCTCACTCATATGTGGAATATAAACCAACACGTGCACGGAGAAAACTGTATTGTGGTTACCAGGGGCAATGGGGGTAGGGGGTGGGCACAAGGGGTGAAGGGAGACATATATATATGGTGATGGACAAAAATGTACAACCCAAAATTTCACAATGTTATAAACTATTAAAACATCAATAAAAAAAAAAAGTTACAGAATAGAATGCAAATCTCTACAGTGTAAAGGTATGGTTAGGAAAAAAAAAATGGGCGCCCTTATATAAGTGCTCCTTATACTTATCCTGATCTTATACAAGATAAAGTCTGAAGTTGATGTAACATGATGACAAAGGTAATCAGTAGAAGAACTGAAGACCATAATATAATGATCAAATTAGGCATAGTACAGGTGGACTAAATCCTCATTTTTCTTAGAAGAAAGGCAATAGATAACTAAAATTAATAATTAAGAAATAAAAACCAATGGTAAAGCTGGTGCCTTTGGAAGAAGGGAACTGTTGATTTTCAGCTCTTCTGTACTTTTATTATGTATATTGTTTTTTAAAAACTTTCATTTTTGATTTTTTCATTTAGAAATTTATTGTATAGATATTTTATCTATATATATAGAACTTTTTAAAAACTCTAATACAGTCACATGTCGCTAAATGACTGGGATACATCCTGAGAAATGCTTCTTTTGGTGATTTTGTCGTTGTGTTATCATAGAGTGTACTGCACAAACCTAGACAGTGTAGCCTACTACCTACCTAGGCTATATGGTACATGATAATCTTATGGGACCACCATCATATATGTGGTACGTCACTGACCAAAACATTGTTATGTGGCACATAACTATACTTAAATTAAAAATAGGGGAAATAGATGGCTACTTGATAATAATGAGTTAGTTGCTTTGCATGCTAATAAAATAAAAATTTGTTTCAATCTGAGAAAAGGGCCTAAAAGTAAGCAGAGAAAGCTAGAGCTCTGAGTTGGAGAGAGAACATTAGAAACATAGTTTGGTGTTAACCAATCTGATCTCAAAAACATGTTTTAATTCATTATAGCAGGTGTTTAAGAGCCAATCCAGCAGGTGACATGCATTTGTTCTGTTTTGTTCTGTATCCCATAGAGTGATGGTGTGCAACAAACAACCTACCTCGCCCAGCGGTACTGCCATGAAGCAATAAGAGAGATCAGTAAACTTCGACCATCCCGGGAAAGAGATGCCCTCATACAACTTTCAGAAATTGTCCTCACAAGAGACAAATGACAGCTCCTTCTGTTATTTCTGGCAGCTATTTTACCAGACTGTGCCTAAAGAATTTTGTGGAATATACTTTGCTTCATGTGCAGATAACCAAAAATCATTTTAAAAAATCATTTCAACCTTATTGATGGGCAATTTTTTTATTGGCAAAGTTTTTCAGAAAACTTTTTAAATGTCATTAAACCATCTGAATCTGTCATTCTAGTCCTGTAAATTCTAATTGAGGTATCTTGATGGTTATATGTGGTACTGTTTACACTGTTAATATCCACATGTAAAGCCATTACACAAATAAATAATCAATGTTAAAATTCAAATGGTTTATCTTGTTTCATCATAGGAGTAAAGGTCAGAAAATTGTGAAGTCTACGTTTCAGTCCACATTACTTAGGTTTTAACAGTATCCAAAATTTCATATAGGAGAATGCTTTATTATAAAAGACTGTACATAAAATTTAGACAACAGGTTATATACAAAATTAAGAGAATATTTCACTCGAAAAAAATGAAGAAGGTAGCTAGCCAATCACTAGTGATACTGAAATCATGTTCGAAGTTAACAAAGGCAAAATGCATATGCAACAGTCACATGGATTTGGTAGCAACAATGGTCTTTAATTTTCAGGAATAAATGTTTTGCACTAGTCTTACCATTTACTATGCTGTAATAAGTCTGTAATGCCCAGTACATAACTGTAATTTGAAATCCAAACAAATCCTCAATACACAGAAACCCACACTTGAGTGCTCTACTTCAATATCCTAGGCAGTATAGAATCATACACAAGATAAGAAAACAGCCCTCTAACCCTCCCTTAAATTAAGAGGAGACACACAAAGTGCATGTGTTGCATTTCGATTATGTCAAAAGACAGTATAAATCTATTGGTCAGGTATATCCCTGTTCAGTGATTAATACATGACCCACCTTTTTCCCCAATTATTTTTAAGTTTTTTTATGTTGCTAGTGCCAGGTAATGGATTAAACAGTGCCTATTCAAAAATCAACTGCATCCACTTCTACAAAAACAATACATAAAAGATAATTTCCTTTCATTGAACCAGCAGTATACAGCAGGTCCACCGGAACACTGAAGGACTGAATGTGCACGCTTGGACACATTTTCTTAGCTTTGAAAAAGTTACGTTAGAAAAGGAATTCAGTAGATTGACTGGTAAATAACCATCTCAGATTTTAAATCTGCAAAAATCAGTCACATTGCTGTTGGGACAGATTGAGATAAGGCTAAAATTTTTTTCCAAGTTAATATATTGAGAAAATAGAACCATAATTCTGCAATAAATCAGTATCTTTTATTTATTTCTTTTTTTAAAAGCAAACCAGTGAAGGAAAGGACAAAAACCTTTGGTTCACTTATGTATTTATGAATGGAAAAAATTTATAATGCAAATTCACTCATTAAAAAACTTAGGTACAAATTACAACATTACAGATAACCCTTTTTTTGTCTTGTTTCACATGGAGACCTTAGAGACTCAATTCATTTCAAGAGACCTAAATACGAGTACTCCAAGTAAATATTACACAAATTGGAAGCATCTTGGATTTTTTAAAAGTATATTTCAATACATAAATTTGTATGCATGCTTTAAACAAACAGTATATTTCCAGAATGAGAGCGTTTAAACAAAGTATGACCAGCGCCAGCATTTAAGTTTTCTGATTTTAATATTAGTCTGACATAGCATTAGTAACCATGCTGCACTGAAACATGTAACGGTACAATCTGAATCATGATTTGTTAAATATTATACCCCACACCCCCAGAATATTTAGGCTGGTCATCAAGTTAACAATGTGTAAGTAAGTACATAAGCATAATCAGTTATGGACAGCCTCCTGTATGAACTGCTATTTAGCAATACACAAACTGCCTCAAAGATTTATGCTTACAGGTAGACATTCAATTATACCAATAAAACAGCATGTCCTGAAAATATGGGCACATTTCAAAACATTTTAAGACAATTCTGTTAACCATAATAGTCCCACAGTATGACTGAGTAATAAGAACCTACTTTAAAAGCAAAAGAATTTAATCAGTATAGTGCATGATTGATTCAACATAGTTCCCAGGGAACAGACCAGTCACTCGATTGCAGACTCCTTCATACCAGCCGTCGTCATTCTTCTTTATTACATAAATGATTGCACCCTCCATAAACGATAGCTCATCATCCTTGTCTTTTGTATAATCATATATTGCCACAACTATGGAGAAAAGAGTTGAAATATCATGTGAGTGCACTATATCCAACATTTAATTGAATTTTATTTTTATTTTATTTTTTTGTGTGTGAGGGAGATCAGCCCTGAGCTAACATCCGTGCTAATCCTCCTCTTTTTTTTGCTGAGCAAGACCGGCTCTGAGCTAACATCTGTTGCCAAGCCTCCTCCTTTTTTTCCCCAAAGCCCCCCAGTAGATAGTTGTATGTCACAGTTGCACATCCTTCTAGTTGCTATATGTGGGACATGGCCTCAGCATGGCCGGAGAAGCGGTGCGTCGGTGCGCGCCCGGGATCTGAACCCGGGCCGCCAGTAGCGGAGTGTGCGCACTTAACCGCTAAGCCATCGGGCCGGCCTAATTGAATTTTAAAATGTAATACCAATTACATCTATAGTGTAGCAAAACCAACCATTGTTAGGAATGTTCTTAGTTCTTACATCTACAAACATAGGTAGGTCAGTGGCCAACCATGTGCCTAAATCACTGGCTTGATCTTAGGGCCAAACTGACAATTTGATTAGACTAGAGAAGTCAATAGCTTCTACAAACCTATTTAGGAAAGATCTCTAAACTTTAGATTTTCTTAGATATTTCAATTCATTTGTTCAAAAATCTACTAAGTGCTAACCATATGCAAAGCATCATTTTTCAAAATAACTTGGGCAAAGCAAAGTTAGACAGCCAGTCAGTAAACCAGGTAACAATCCAAGTACTTTGAAGATATACGTATACTGGGACGTAAATCTCATCCTACTCATCCAAGGAAAATATTCATGTAATTTATGGGACTATACCTAGAATTTTTAAAAAAATATTTACACACTTTAAAGGTCAACAAGATTTTTTTTTAAGAGAGAAATAGGTGAGTGAGGATCCATTAATTAAGACTGAGAGAACTGTCTGCAATTCTGCGGTACATGTGATTATCTTGAGTTCAAAATAGTCACATCCTTTGTAAACAATGTTGTGGAAAGGAAAGCCATCAAAAAATTACTCGGTTTCCAAACTACTGGTTTATGAATTTAATTATTCCTTCATTCTGCCTTTTTAGCATAATAATTCTGAAATTACTTGTAATTGTCTAGTATATGTGTAACTGTATGTGATACATAGATTTTTTTTAATTGATTTACCTTGTGTACTTTTTCTTAAAATAGAAGAGTTTTTAAAACATTTGAGATATTCTGGAACTCATTTTTCCCCTAAGAAAGATGGCTTCTCCCCATAATTATTCTAAATTAGTGAATTATAATAAGGAAGAGACCTGAAGTAGTGATCCATAGCATCATTTGCAAACTTAAAATAGGCAATCTTTTTCCCCTTTACAAAATACTATATTAAGTAACTTAACAAGTCCATTCCCCTCCATTTTAATCCTGCAGCAGAATCATAGTATTGTGATTACAAGCTCACTAACATATCCAGTTTCAAAAAAACCAAAAACATACATAATAAATAATATTAAGTTATCCTGATATGATTTTTGGCTAAATAACCACCCAAGAAAATTGAGTGACTGCTGGAGATAAACATTAATAAAGAAAGTAGTGTAATAATAAAGAAGTCAATTAACTATCATTAATTTGTCAATTACTTATTAATAATTATTATTTATTGTTTAACGTTGGTAACATTAATTTCTTTGTATTCAGAGTCACAATGGGTTAGATTTGAGTGGTATAGATAACTTTTAAACTGATCGTGACAAAGGCCTGATACCCTCAAAGTGATTCAGCAGAATGAAAATATTATTTCCTCAAGTTCTTAGTTCCACTTATACAAAGCTAGTAAAAGTACTGAGGCTCAATTAATTATATTTCTATTTTCTAAGCCACTTTTGTAAATGAAACCTAGTCACACCAAACCTCCCTTCTTACTGCTGAGTTATGTAACCATTTACAATTCCATTTTAAAATCCATTTTACTCTCCAGGATTCTAATCCATATAGAGAGCTCAACTCGCCCTTCTGTTATGTACTGTACTGTATGTACTTTGGAACTCGAGGTCTAACACTCTAATCCTACCTCTACATGATAAAAATTTGAAGATGGCTATCTAATCCCTCTGAAATCTTCTTTTCCCCAACTTAGAAACAATGCTTTCAACTCTTTCTCACTATAGATGCACTTTCTAGATATTTCAGCTTCCTGAATATTCTCCTTTGAAAGCATTCCTGTTTGCAAGATCTTGAAATGTGATACTCAAAATTAGACATAGTACTAGACTAATATAAATGAATATGATCAGATTGGTACACATTAGGTTAAAGTTCAGCTAATGTACCCTAAGAATCTAGCTTCTAGAACAGTCATGTCATACTACTAATTAATAGATTCAACTGAAATCCTATTAAACCAGGTTTTATTCATCTTGTGATTATAAAGGTGACTATTAAAGGTTTTAAATATAATCCCACTATCCCTCAACTTTTTTTATTTAGACTGGGGGTCAGCAAACAATGGCCCATGGCCAAATCCAAGCCACTGCCTTTTTTGTAAGTCAAGTTTTATTGGAACACGGGCACGTCCTCTCACTTGCACATTGTCTATGGCTCCTTTCATGCTACAACAGTGGGGCTGAGTAGTTGTGACAACTGTATGTCTCGTAAAGTTAAAAATATTTCATTTTGCAATATATGCAAATATCAAATGATTATGTTGTACACCTGAAATTAATGTTATGTTAATTATACCTCAATTTTTTTAAAAAGTGAAAAATATCTGGTCTTTTACAAAAAATGTGTGATGATCCCTGGTTTAAAACTCATTTCAACAAGTGAAGATATTTTTCAATCCTGCTCTATTAAATGTATTAACCATTATATAATTCCAAATTTGTCAATTGATATAAATATAATAGTCCCATTTTCATAGTTATTTAAAGTTAAATTTGCTTTTCCAAGCCATAAAATACGGGTAAAAACACAATTCAAGACTACTCAAGTTTCTCACCCTCATAATAACAACACATCTCTACTTGAAGGTAGATGGGAATTTAAATATAAAGTAGAATATTCATGACTTCCTGAACAGTATGTAGAATATTTACTATTTTTATATTTACTGTTTAAAAATATAAAAAAAGGAAAACAGCAACTTTACTGTCAGCCACATACTCAACACTTGGGCAGGAGAGAAGGCCACGGGTCTCGAGCAACAGCTACTTGCCTCAGGCCAGTTAATCCAATAAAGCTAACAGAAGGGAAAACACTTCCAGGCGATCAAATGTGATCAACTAAACTACAAGCATTTTTCAGAACCCTATAGAAACAGATTTTAAAAGAGCACAGAAGTAGATGAAAAAAACAAATAAACTCTCTAAAAACAGAATTTGTGGGCCGGCCCTGTGGCTTGGTGGTTAAGTGCGCACGCTGCAATGCTGGCGGCCCGGGTTCGGATCCCGGGTGCGCATCGAGGCACCACTTCTCCGTCCATCCTGAGGCCGAGTCCCACATGCAGCAACTAGAAGGATGTGCAGCTATGACATACAACTATCTACTGGGGCTTTGGGGGGAAAAAATAAAATAAATAAAATCTTTAAAAAAAAAAAAAAACAGAATTTGTTTCTTTGCCACACACTATTGCTTAATAGATAATTATTGTGAACGTTAGGTAATTTAGGTAAATTTGGGCATTAGATTTATACCTAATTTCATGAAATGAAATTCTAGTGATTATCTTCTCTTTTACAAGATCAACTAACTGAAAACCTTAGTTGAGGCTTTTTCTCATGATATGAAAGGTTTCTATTTTTAGTGTTTAAGAGGTTAGAAATTTTATTTTTATTTTTTACTGAGGTAATACTGGTTCGTAACATTATAGAAATTTCAGGTGTACATCATTATATTTCGATTTCTGTATAGAGTACCTCATGTTCACCACCAAAAGTCTAGTTGCCATCTGTACAAATTTTGTTCTAAATCTTTACTAATTATATCACTATATATTACTATTTAGTAAGTCACTTAACTTCTTTTTTGTGCCTGAGTTGTTTCATCCATAAAATTCAGACAAATTAATCTCCAGCTGGAAGTTTATGTCATTTGAAAAAGCACATCTAATATTATAATGTACTTTTCATTTAAAAAATAAAAAAAGAATCCTCCCTTTATACTGGGAATGTATAGGAAATAGGGTTTAACTAAATCATCTTGGCTGGTAAACCTATTCAAAAGGTTGAGAAACACTGGACTAGATGTTCTTTATAGCTCTAACATTCTATTAGGCTATTTTCCTTTACATCAATTCAATGACGATTGTACTTTACCTTTCTCAATATAATTCTTGGGGGCCCAAGCAGGATCCCCATCTGCATATGGATCATTATACTGAACTACTGCCGCCTCCTCATCTTCATAATCCACTGGAGGTGGTGGCGGTGGAGGTGGAGAGTCATCAAACATGGGAATGTCATCTGGTGGAGGTGGGGGTGGTGGAGTTGGACTATCAGCAACTGAAAAATTCAGATAATTAATTTGAATGAGAAATTAGACTAAATGGAAGTATAAGTTAACAGAATTTAAGAAAGCTCTAATTCATATACAGCATGCACTATAATAAAACATGCAATGATTAGAAATAAAAGCTTGGTGTGTTAAAGCTTCTACTACTCTTAAGAATAATTTTGTAATAATAAAATGAGCTAAAAATAAGGGTATTAGGAAGTACTACAGATTAATGAATGCAGGAGGTTAGGAGACAATGACTCTTTTTATAAGGATTATAGAAGTAAAGAAGTTTCCTTATCCTAAGGCCTAGGTCAGAACAAACATCACTCTTTATTTAGTTAGCCCACCTCCTTAAATAAGCCCTATGTAACAACTGTCATTTGGTCTACAGTAAACGTTATGAATAATGATACATTAATGGTTTGATAACCATTCATTGTGCACATTCATGTCTCTGATTCTGGCTTTTAATTATCTTTAGTTCCCCAGAAATAAGTCTTCAGTGGGTGAATACTTGTTTATTTTTGTTTTAATTTAGAAAAAAAGAAAAGTTAGGGTATTAGGTTTGCTTTTAAGTGTAGGTTTCTATTCATTTATTTAAATTTGTGTGTATGTGTGTGTGTGTGTGTGTGTGTGAAGAAGATCAGCCCTGAGCTAACATCTGCCAATCCTCCTTTTTTTTTTTTTTTTGTTGAGGAAGACTGGCCCTGGGCTAACATCCATGCCTATCTTCCTCCACTTTATATGGGACCTGCCACAGGACAGCTTGACAAGTGGTGCGTCGGTGCACGCCTGGGATCCAAACCGGCGAACCCCGGGCCGCAGCAACGGAGTGCGCGCACTTAACTGCTTGCACCACCGGGCCGGCCTCTCTTTTATTTAAATTTTAACAAGAGAAAATTAAATTAAAAGTAAATAATTCCAAGCTAGTAGAAAATCTCATTGAATATTTTCAAAAAATTTTGTATTCATAATCAACTTTTTTAACGTAGAAAGCAAGCTAAGATTTCTGCATTATTGCTAGTAAAATATAAGCATGGGATGAGGGAAAGGATCCTAGAGATCCAATTTTCTAAGAATACATCCACAATAAAGATTTTAAAAATAAAGTATTGCAGGAAGATGTAATTAAAAACAAACAGAAAGGAACTGATATCATGCAAAACAATAAAAACGAGTCATACCTCAAATTCTAGATGGCTGTGATATGTGTATGTGTGTGATTTAAATAATTAAAAGTGTAAATGGTGAAATGCAAAAATGCCAGGCTACAACTGTGTTCACTGAACTAACATGATACTAGGTAACAAACGCTCCCAATATTAAGGAATTCAAAGCTACAAGACAACTAATTCTTAATTTAAATTTCTGATCCAAAAATTTCTTTAGAAGTAAAAGACATATGTAAATGCTTTGATACAAATTGATATAGGAATTATATAACATCTGCAGGGGAGAAATTCAGAATACCAACATATTAACTCAAATGCCAATTTCTGGGGCCGTATAGGTGATCAAAGAAAGTCATAATCTATTTGTAATATAGGTTTTAAAGTTACTCCACCCTATTTGGAATAATGTGCTGAAAATATAACCAAGGGATCCATATTTAAAACATTTCCAGGTAATAGCCCTACTTCCATAGCCACTTCAATTCTATGATTTCTATTTCATCCCGTGGGGGGATGAAAAAGATTATTAGAAAACAATTTCTGTGTGGTGATGCTCATTCTGATAGCTATCAAACGGGTCTACAATTTATTTTTTCATCAAATGCTTGGATCCACTTGAGTTTTGCCCATACCTTCTCCATAAAGCTTTCTAATATTATTGAGAGGCGAGTAAAATGGAGGTGAATCCATCTGAGTTACAGCTCATATCCTTAATTTGGCTTAATGTGTAAATTATATATATTTGCCTGAATCCCTAAATTGCATTTACTCTTGATTGATACATAACTTACTAGTTTAATGTTTTCACTCAGTAGTCTTTATGTTCAACTGCTGTGACTCTACATTGGCTTATCTTCAAGCTATAAACAATGGGCAGGAGGCTGGTCACTCTAATTCTCTATGTATAATCCTTTGTCTAGCACCATGCATAATTAGTAAAAAATGCTTTCTGATGTGAATCATAAACAGATGTAAACACACTGCTGATTTTTTTAGAGGCTCATATGTTAAACCAAAACATTTATTAATAGGTTAACTGCTAAGGTGCATTCATTATCACCAACTTTGAGGGCCATAAGAAACTGAGTATTTAATAGGAAAAAAACAGAGAAATTTTGTATTTCATAAAACATTTAAGACACTAATACACAGTTTATCACCAATCTTCCTAACATGCTTTCAAAGAAAACAGATGTCAAATAAAGTTGGGCATTCTGCAGCACAAGGAGCGTAACTGGCTCAAGTTCATGTTTGGTGAAAAGAACTAACACAGTACCATGGGCCTCTTGATCAAAGACCACATATGCCTAGAATAATGTACTGAATAATTAATACCGAAATTCTATTTTAAAAAGTTTCCAAAAGCCTAGTCAATGAGCTTTGGACCCATTAAATGTATGCTTATTATGGCTATTTTAAAATATTTCCTAAAAATTCTCGGCTGTAAGGCAGTTCAAAGGTTAAACTGGCTTAGTTTTTAAACTCTCATAGCATTAAGGACCAGTAATTTATCCTGATTCACTTATTTTTACATGTTTAAACACAGAGTTTTCAAACAAATGTTAACAATAAGGTTGGTTTACTCAGAAATTTCAACATTTTGAAACTGCCACGTTTTATTTAAAAACCCATTAATTCATACATTTCTTAAAGGTAGAGACTTTGTCTTAGACTATCTGTATTCTTTCCAGAGCCTAGCACATAACACTGAATAAATATCTGACTGGAGGAAGGGAGGAAATGTGGAGAATCACAACAAGGTCAGCAAAAGCTGAACAATGGAATTTGCCATAATGTATTCTCCTGGAAGATGGGCTGGTCAAATGCGTTACACATTTGTTCAAACCATCCTGAAATACATTTGCATGGTGATGGTTCCAAATGAAGTCAATTACTTCTAGACCACCTTATCATCTTAATCTCAACAGCTATTCTGGCATAATATAATTCAGGAACAGTGGTATTTTTCATTTTGCCAAATAACATTCACTATGATCATGTAGTTAGGATTATACATCATCTGGAACCTCAAAGCAATCAGGTAGTAATATAAACTACTCTATCCTAATTAAATCAATATATTCAAAAGAATTTCCAAAAATCATTAAACCTGATCTTCCTTCAGAGTAGATCTAAAAAAGTTGATAGATCTGCATATTCAGAAATAATCCTCATGGGCCTGCATGTAGCCAAAACAGGAAGAGGGCTCTACATTGAGTATACTCTTATATGGATAGCATGGATGTCATTTACTTATTCTTGCAGATACATTCTTATCCTAACAATGAATCTTTATATAGGTTCAGAATTACTTATGTATAAAAATCTGAGGCTACAAAACTTTCTCCAGAAATTTGTAACTAAAGGAAAAACAAACACATCTGTCCCAATCACATAATAAATTTAATCCACAGTATAACTATCTCTATCTTGATGAATTTGCTGGCAACAGAATACAAAATGTTTTCTAACTAATTCTCCTAATAACTATTGGAAGCTAGTAGTTTCCACACAATTTGAATTTCTGTTTGATTACACAACAAGAATCTGCAAAGATCAGATTTCACGCTTTAGATCATATAAATACATAAGAAAGTTGCAGTTTTGAAATTTTTATGGGTCAGTAATCATGCATACAAGAGAAAAAACTGAAGACCGTGCTCTTCAGTTTCAATAACATATCTGCACCTATTTTCAAGATAAGATTAGCTTCTCAATAAAAGTAAGGAAAATGATGACTCGTCAGCCATGCATGCTATAGGAGACAGCCTCTACTCTTTGACGGCTCAGTTTTTCCCAACTTACTGTTTTCCTGCACCCTGGCCACGAAGCCTGTGAGAGGTATCTGTGGAGTCAACTGAGGCATAGGGGGAGGGGGTGGAGCAATAGAAACTGGTAGCAACAACAAAGTATGGGGGAAGTAAAACAGATAAAGGAAAGAAAAGGAAACAAACAAAAAGCAGAAGTCAGTTACAAGGACCACAAACATAAGTATGCAAAGAACAGTTTGCAAATGAAACAAAACAAAACAAAAAACAAAACAAAAACCTGCAGAACCTTCAAGTTCATTTCCCACGACAAACCTAAAGCTGAGTTGTGCTTAGTTAGCCAACTGGTTAATTTTATAAAAAACCAATACATTTAATTTAATTCTAATGTTATATTGTTTGGGGGAAGATTTAAATTTACTATCATTCACTTTCATGCAATAAAATTTTCAAATTCTAAGAAAAGACTTTAAAAAAATAGTGAAATGCCGATAGAGGTTTCCAGGATATTATGTCTTTGCCATATCTCTATAACCTAACAGGTATGTCTAGCTTTAGGGTAATGTTGTAAATTAGAACCCAAATAAATAAAACAAATATGTTATGGAATAGCTGTTTATTCCATATAGAAATAAATACATTAATCATAGGTTTCCTTTAAAAATAGTTCTTATATATCTGAATTTACACACATCTCTCCAGGAAAAACTCTTGTTTATAAAACAAGGTTATTATTATTTTCGTTAACTGTTCACTGAGTTTCATGAGATAAGATATTTCAAAAATGCCATCTTTCCTTTTATTACTGTTCTGAAAAAGGAAACCTGATCTAACGATAGGTTAAAATATGCAATTACTTGCATTAAAGTAATTTCTAACAAATCATTGGGTAGCTGGAAACATATTCTAACTTCTTTCTGGAGAGGACATAATTACAGGAAATTAATACCAAATGCTCATGTGGGCAGCAAATGTATTAAAAGTTGTAACAAACTAGAAGTAAACATTCATGTTTACTACTTTGTCTCATTTTAACAAGACAGTAATTGCCAAAGATTGCTTAGAAAAGTCAATAAGGACCAGATCCCAAAATTCAGTTTACTGGTAAGTCACCAAGAAGTGACACTAAATTGACAGAAAAAAATAATTTATTTGTTCTCAAGGATCATTTAATCAAAAGATTGTTTCAACTAATCCAATCTACAAATTTTGTCAGCATAAAAATTTGAAAGAGGTTCAGTGTTCAAAGAAGCAGTAACTTAACAAAGCAATACACGTGCATTAATATTCACTGGATGGCTAAAAATAACATTCAATTCACTATGAAACTGGTCCTCATTCGTTCTGATATTCTGTATATAGAAGGTTCTTAAATAAATAAAATGTTACAGTTTTTGATGTAAAAAAAAATTCCCACAAACCTAAAAAAATTTCTTTAGAAACAACCCTTAGTAACTAGCCATGCTGGTTAGTACATGAAGAAAAAGAAAAGCTATGTTGTGAAGATACTAATCATTACACCACATTTAGACAGGAGAAATATGCACATCAAAACACTAAAAACATTCACATACTACTACTACTACCACAACACCAACAGTGACTCAGATTGAAGGATAATTAATTTGACAACACATAATAATAGATTTAAAAATTGAGGCCAATTTGCTTTACAATATCCAAAAGATACAGACATTCAGTAATGAAATTATGTCTCGTTTGAGAGTAAGCAACCCCCCAAGTACTGTTAGAATAAAGCTACATAAACATATATTAAGTGAAGAGTCACCAAAAATCCTATTTGCAGAGTAAACTAAATGTCTACGTGAGGAAATGAAAAATAATGAACACAAAGATGGGATCTCAAAATGCAGCATAATATGAAAAAAAAAACTAAAAGTTCATGAAACTAGTGAGCCTAAAAATCAGATAATCTGTGAATATTCAGATGCTAGCTACCTTTCATTACCAAAAGGAGACCAGGGAAAATGTGAGGTAAAATTCTAATTGGTAAAATTTCTTAGTAGCTTAGATGAAAATTTTAGTCTGGAAAAGGGTTGTATAAATTTTTAGATTACCTGTGAATTTTGACATTTCTGCTAAAGTGGTTTTCAATTCTTAGGAGTTTTTTGCTATAACATAATTAATCTTTGACTCTAAAATTTAAACAAAAAACAAATAAAACAACTTCCCCCAGCTCTGTTTTAAAATACGTGTTCAGAACATGCATTATAAATAAAATAAAAACTTAAAACCAACGTCCCGTGTGAACATGGAGTATTCAGTGTTTTTTAGGTAAACTAATATAACATGCAACTCTAGAAAGTAGCTACAAAAGCCACATGGGAAGGTGTGTGTCAGACTACCCCCGGGGATCGCCGCTTCAAGCCAGTAACAAATACTGGACAAGAGGCTCATTTTAAATTTCTTTATATCTTTTTTCCTTTTTGGATGAAGCATCTTAATATGGAAAGTGAAATTAATGACTACCCCAAGCAATTCAAACTTCTAATCTTATCAGCCTTTAAACACTGATTGCAGTTAGTGTTGAGATGTGCAATTTGAGGTGAACAGAAAGAAATCAAAAGAAAATCCTCCCCATTGTTACAATTATTAGAGACAGAATAAGCAAGCATCACAAATGTCTTTTAATGGTTTGGAACTCATTTCAGTACAGGTTAACAAGCTTAAAAGTGATAGCCAGCAATTTTGTTATATTATTTTAAAGAAAAATTTTCACAGTGTTTTTAATTTTACTGTTATTAAACTGTCGCATACAAGCCAATAAAAATAAATTCAGCTTAATTTCAGTGTTTTTCTTCTCTTGTTCTATTTATAGCAATAAAAATATCATCTCAAACCATCACTTAAATTTTAATAGACAAGTATACTCAGTAAGTCTGAATTTTTTGAGAGAAAGTGATAAGCAATTATTCTTAAAACGGTATGATTCAAAGACAAACTTTCTAAAGCAAAAATAAACATGCAACAGCATGGTTTCAATTGTTGTCTATCACTGGCAAGAATAATGGTTTCAAATAATGTCCTTCAAAAGGAGCTCCACTGTTGTTGTATGCCTGCAAAGCACAAGCTTACTTGAATTCTGAGAATAAAGTGGACCTCCATTAACATGAGGCTGAGCAGAAAATTGAGCAGTCACAGAGGGAGTTCGTCTGTATCCACCAGAAGATGTCGAGGAGGTGGTAGAGTTGTGCCGAGATATCTGCCTGGTCATTGTGCCATACTGGGAACCAGGAGCTGAGCCCGGGGCTGCTGAAAAGCATTCATCAAAGGCAACCAACAAAGAACTTGAGCATTGCACGTCACCACCGATGACAGAACAAAGAGAGGGGTACTCTCAATAAGAAGGATTTATTACTTTTTAAAGCCCACAGCACAAAATAGAGAGAAAAGTAAAGATAAAACACAAACAGCTCTATCTCTGAAGTTACACAGAAGGGAAAAAGGGAAAACAGATACTATGTGGAAAGCTGCAAAAGTAAATAAGTAACATTCTTAAGCCTTTTAATTTAGCATAGTCCCCAACGGTATTTTGCAATTTTGCAAATGTTACGTATAAATTTTTTTCTGTATCATTTTAGGATATATAGCTTTTATATGTAAACTGTGTCTCTCCAACAAACTAAGTACCAAAAGATAGTCTGAGGTGGAAAGTGTCGGTTTTTAGATGTGAATATATTAGTATCTGGTTTACAAACTTCTTCCTTTCCATTGCCAAATCTTCAGAAGCACCGTGTAAGACTCTATCCAGCCAAATTCAAGCTAAATTATAAAATTTAAACAGTTAAGCATATTTTCCACATATACTACTATATTTATTTGAATGTTTATTAGTTATTATCAATACGTATTATAGAATCCTTTTTAAGAGAAGTACAATTTCTAGTTTCAAAGCACTTATATTTATCACCAAATTTGTTGTGTATCTCCAAACTTTTAAGAATAACATACTGTTCCCTGTCACTTAAATTTTCGTAACTCACAAAACCAGAAACAATTTTAGACTCTGTAAAACATGGACATTTTAAGGCAGCTTTGTGTAGAAAATCCATTATCTTTCTCCATACGTGGAGGGCTTTTTTCCCATACTACACCCAAAGCAATCTTTTTTTATTATTATTATCATGCATATCCAAACTGACTAAAATATTAATAATACCTAAAATTTTATTCATCTTGACCAACATTTCAAAATTTTAATATTTAAAAGGTTAATAAAGTTCAAAGCCTCTAAAGTTAACTACACTTTCCAAAGGTAACTTCAGGATTAATATCATCCTCTTTGCCCCACCCAAACATCTAACCATGACTGAAAAGGCAAAAAGACAGCATCCTAGTTTATTTTCATTCTGTTGTCTAATTTAACTTCTCCTAGAGGTCATACAAGTTATTAGATAAAACCATACAGCAGAGGTTGTTCATTAAAAGAAGCACTAATATTTAACATTTTGGAGCTCCCAAGCCATAGGCAGTCACTAATAATTATTTGAATCATCCACATGTTCATTTTCTAAATAGAAACACATTTTAAAAATAAAAGTCTGTTCAAAAGCCTTCGTGAATGAGTAATGCTGGATGGCTAAGTTTTCCAGAGAGCTAAGAAGTAACCCTTTAACCATTTTTAATGGTTTTTTAAGGTTTTGGGGGTTTTTTTGGTGATTTTAAAACTGAAAACCAACATTTTAGCACTTCCAAACTATGCCTATTTTAGAATTTAATATTTTATTATGAAACAAATCATAATACCAAAGAGTATATGACTAATATATATAATTATATTATACAAGTAATACATATGGTTTTATATATATACTTATATAAATATATATTTTATATATATATAATTTTTAAAAAATAAGATAGGATAAATACTCAGCTCCAAGAAATAGAATATTACCAGTATTACTTGAAGCTTCTTGTTTGTCCCCTCTGGATCCTACATCTCAAAAGGTATGCAATTAAACATTCTCTTTCTTTACTATAGTTTTTTTTTTTTTTTATCACAGATATATATATAACCTTAAACAAAACACATAGGGATTTTGCAAATTTATAAACTTTTATAATGGAATGATTACGTATTCTGTTGGCTTGCTCTTTTCCTTTGATATTAATACTACTACTATGAACATTCCTAAATGTGGTTCCTGAATTTCTGTAGAACAGTGCTTCTCAAACACCAGCCTTGATCAGAATTTCACCTTGAGGGCTTGTTATAATACAGATTGCTGGGATCCAGTCCTCAGTTTCTGATTGAGTAGATCTGGAATGGGACCTTAGAATTTACATTTCTAACTAGTTCCCCCATGAGGATGATGTTGGTAGTCTGGGGATCACACTCAGAAAGCCACTGCTCTAGGACCATGGTTTTTAAACTTTACAGTCTGAGGGTACAATCTTTAAAATGAGAGAACCTCAAAAAGCTTTTGTTGAGGTGGTAGTTATAGCAATAGGTAATTCCCATATTAGAAATTAAAACTGATCTATCTTTAAAACACATGAATACACAAATACACATTCCATTAGCTGTCAAAGCAATGATTTTATCATGCATCATGCAGCCTCTGGAAAATTCCACTGTATACTTATACCAGAATGAGAATGAAAAAGGCAAATAAGTCTTAGTATTATTTTTTTTTTTTTTTTTTTAAAGATTTTATTTATTTATTTTTTCCCCCCAAAGCCCAGTAGATAGTTGTGTGTCATAGCTGCACATCCTTCTAGTTGCTGTATGTGGGACGCGGCCTCAGCATGGCCGGAGAAGCAGCGCGTCGGTGCGAGCCCGGGATCCGAACCCGGGTCGCCAGCAGTGGAGCGCGCTCACTTAACCACCAAGCCACGGGGCCGGCCCAGTCTTAGTATTATTATGAATATAGCTCTGACCGCCAAAACTCCATGAAAGGATCTTGGCAACACCCTGGGGTCCCAAAACCATATTTTGAGAACCAGTACTCTAGGGTAAATATCTAGAAATGAAATTGATAAATCTAAGGTAGAGAGACCTGTTCAACTTGACTAGGTAACAACAAATTACTTTCCAAAGTTAAGTGTATCAACTAATAAACTCCAACCAGCAATGTACTTTCCTGTTACTGCACATCCTCAACAACATTTGGTACTACTAGTAGACTTTTACATTTTTACCTATCTGGTGGATATAAAATAGTATCTCACTGTGGTTTTAATTTTCATTTTCCTGGTTATTAATTAGGTTGAGGGCATTTTTTTTTTCACATGGACTTTCTGCCAACAATTTCTATTATTAGGATCTATTTTTTTTATTACCTCCTTTTGCCCCTTTTCCTTTGACTACAAGTGCCAATGTTTTGACAAGATGTTGGAAGATGGCTTTATTTCACCTAAACTGAAACTCAGCTCTCATTATTTGAAACATCTCATTATCCATTTCTACCCACATTGTTGCTATTGTGTATTTCTAGGATGAATGGTTTTATACTGAGTCTATACTTGGCATTTCTTATACGCTCAATCCAGTCACCCCCAAGTTGGGAACAATTTAAGTGCATTTTATTGAAAAAAATGTTTCACAGCATCCTCAGATGCCATAAGTACTGGCTATATCAGAGTTTTTCAAACTGCAATCTATAGGAAAGCCTCACAGCACCCCACACCACACTTTTCCATTTTTCTTCCTCCTGTCCCCCACCTTCACTCCAATCCTTTGACTGCTATATATACCAGGGAGTTCCAAATCAAGTTTAACTTTAAAAAATTACTTTACTAATTAAAAAAATTTTCTTGAACAATCACTGCTATAATTTTCCTAGAAAACTCTAAACAAATAACAAATACAAACCACATTAAATTGGTTGTAAAGTAGGCATAGAAACTTTTCACACTGCAGAAAAAGTTACTTTATATTTGTTTTCTGTATAACTTCAGAGGCCTTTCACCGGGAGAAATTAGTGTAAATTAGATTTAATACTTTAATCTTTGTATTACTACCTACAACCTAACACTATAAAGCTAGCAGTCTGAAGAGTTTATTATGAATTATGCAAAGTAAGTTCAAGCACTCCAGTGGTTATGCAATCTCACCTATCACAGTGCTCACTGGGAGAAGTGGTGGGAGAGGTGGTGCTGGTGGAGCTCCAGGAGGAGGAGGGACAGAAATGTTTTCTAATAAAATAGTTTATAATTCAGGTCAGAGTGCAAGAAAGAGAACTAAACATTCTGAAACAGTAAGTAAGTACAATGTTTTGAAAAGAAGAAAACAAAAAAGAGAGAGACACCCATACATAAAGCATGTTCAAATGAGTATGAATTTTATTAGGTAAAAAGGCCATTGAGTTCAACCCTGCATTAACTATAAAATATGCCTGTTTTTATAACCGGATTTTTCTCCTTTTTCAACAACATCCTGAGAAGCTAAGAATTTTTTCCTAATACTTTTGATTATCATACTCACTTTTAAAATGTATATTTTTAACACTATAAAGTTTTCATTTCATTTACTAAAACCCAAAGGACTAATTTAATGCTCTGCAATGATGTCTTATTTATATAATCTAAAAAGTAAAATAATTTTCCCTATTTTAATTCCATATTATATTCATGGCATTTTACTGAAATATGTATTGACTATCATACATAAATGTAGTCAAGTCACAGAACAAGCTAACACCAGAGTCGAGAAACTAGCCTACGAGGCAACATCAAAACTCACTGATACATAATTTACATTATAGACACTGATCCTTTAATTAGGGTATCAACGTTATTGGTCTGCTCCTAAAATAATAAACATCATTTTGACTAGTGCCCAAGGCAAGTATTTCTAAAGCAAAATGGCCAAAAAATTATTTAATAAAGCTATTTAATATGCTTTATATAAAAGGAGAAACTGCTGGTAAAACCCTGAAGACTCTGAAAACCAATCTAAAAAGGCTTTTAAATTTTTTGTTAGTGTTTATTCTAGCAACAATCACATAAATTTAATAAATAATTTTATCTAATATAACTAAATTATTTCACACTTCCATACTAAAGCTCATAAATACAATCACATATTAAAACAGATTACTAAATAACATACCTGGTCCAATAGTGGGTGGTGAAGGTGTAGGCACGGCAATGGGAATGCCAATACTGCTGCTTCCACTGTTTTCTCGACTTCCACTTCCTCCACTACTTCCACTGCAAAGAAAAGATTGTGAAAAAAGCAATTCTAGAGATTTACCAAAAAAAATTGTAATAATCAACTCAAAGCTACTAAATACTCTTTTTATGGTGTGTGTGTGTGTGTGTATGCGTGCGTGTGTATATATACATATAAACAAGAAATTTTTAAAACTGTTCAATACAAATTTTAAACCTAAAACTTGAAATGGTTCTTGAGTTTCACTCTACTTCTCAATCTATTGGAAACCAATATAATCATACCACAGTACTCAAAACTATCAGAAGAGATCATCCTATTGAGAAATGAATGACCAATAAAATCCTATAGTACAATGAGTCAACAGGGCTTATTTAGTACCTACTGAATAGCAGTGAACAAAGCAGGCATGAACCATGTTGTCATGGAGCTCATAGCTGAAAAGGGGAAAACACATTAAAAAATAGTGTGATAGGGGGCCGGCCCGGTAGCGAAAGCAGTTAAGTGCGCGCACTCCACTGAGGCGGCCTGGGGTTTGCCGGTTCGGATCCCAGGCACGCACCGATGCACTGCTTGTCGAGCCATGCTGTGACAGCGTCCCATATACAGTAGAGGAAGATGGGCACAGATGTTAGCTCAGGGCCAATCTTCCTCATGAAAGAAAAAAAAATAGTGCGCTGGATGCCACAAAAGAGAATGTACAAGATGCTATAGGAGTTAATAAAAAGGGTAATCAGTTTTAGTCTGGAATTAGTATGAAAGCTTCCACCCACCTCAAAGAATGGTGATAAAACAGAGAAATTTTCTGGAAAATGAGCAAAACGACAAAAAGAGATGGTAGTGAAGTTTCAGCGTGGGGCATTCTAGAATACTTGATACTGTTAAACTCTAACCAATTCCCTACTATTCTAATTCCTATAGACTTACTGTCCTTTTAGGTATACGGCCTCACACTACCCAGCTGTTTTTAGTAATGTGTGTGTGCACATGTACATGTACGCAAATGTACAAATGTGCACATGTAGCCTTGGGCTCCATATTATGTTTTAAAATCAAAATCATTGGCTCAATAGGACCAGAAACTCAATGGGGCAAAGACTTGCACTGTCTAGGTAAAATTTTTATTTTTTTCTCCAATATGATCATTCTATAATTACATTATCACATGTTAATTGAAGACAAGAAAAAAGAAAGAAAGCTGTTTATATAACAAAAAATAGCTTTGATGTGAAGGCCTCCCTACTCCCTCAAGCCAAGTGATCAATATTCTACTTTGTACCACCATCACGTCACAGACCTATGAATACTTTTGCATGTATTTATGTTCTTCTACAATTATTAACTTAGGCACCTTTTTCCTAACATGGGGGTTGGCAAATTATAGCCCATGGGCAAAATCTGGCCAGTGTCAATTTTTACAACCTGTGAGCTAAGAATTTTTTTTAGACTTTTAGATAGTTGAAAAGAAATTGACACATTAAAATTATATCAAATTCAAATTTCAGTGCCATATATAAAATTTTATTGGAACACAGCCATGCTCGCTCATTTACGTGTTGTCTGTGGCTGCTTTCACGCTACAATGACAAAACCGAGTAATTCGCAACAGAGACCACATGGCCCACAAATCCTAAAATATTGACAATCTGGCCCTTTATAAAAAAGTTTGTTGATCCCTGTTCTAACAGAATGAGCTTCTGAAAAAAAGAACTATATCTTACTGGTATATCCCTAGTATCTAATGAAGTAACTCTTAATAACTGGTTGTTGAATATGATTAAACTATTACTACCTCCATTATACAGAAAACTCATGCTTTGATACAATAATAACAAACATAAAAAAAGAACAATTTTGGTCCTCAGCAAACTGATATAGTAATTGCAGATATCAATATAACAATTTATTTACTAACAGTGGCAACAACAGCAAATATCCATTACATAGCACCTAAAAGCCTGATGTACTCTATTTAATTGAATCCCCAAAAATGATTTTGCTAAGTTGTATCTCTAATATACCAACCTAAAAGTCAAGGTAAACTATCAAGTTGGATACTTAATAAAGTGAATACTTTTCTGAATATATGTTATGTTCCGTAACCAAGTTTTTAAAAATCCACTGGGTAGTTGATTTCTAAAACTTTGTTTTTAACGATGTATACAATAACATATTCTAGTATAACAACTCTCTTAAGAAATTCTTCCTCAGATCTAAGCTAAGTCTTCTTTCCTCCAACCTCTTAAAGTTTAAAGCACGTTGTATAATTTCTGATAATTAACCTTTTATCCAAAATACTTAAAAGTGGTTGCCATGATCTTTTTTAAAAGACTGTTGTAAAAAACATTCTTTAGCCTTGATTCAAATACACATCTGTACCTCTGTCAAAAGGAGGGCACAGTAGCAATCTGCTAATAGTATAAATAAACATAAAATCTAAAAATCAGAAGCTATGGCTCAAGTTTACAGGAACATATACAATATTATTACCCTCAACTTTTACATTCTATATTAGCATGAGAGTAGTTACCTTACCTTTACTCAGTAACTTTACAGGAGTTTGTCATCAGTCAATAACCCCCACTCTCAGATGTTCAAAGGCTCAACCTGAAGGTTTACCTGTGTGTCCTCGGTCTCTGATTTAAAGAGGCTGTCCTGCCTGGACTATGCTGACTTCCGAGCCTAGCAGGACTTGTCATGTAGTCATTAGGAACTGTTGGGGGTTTAACAGGTTCCAGGGTTTTGTAAGGAGTATTCCGTCTAAAGAAGCATAACAAAGAAAGGAATAATGAATAAGAAAAAGTAAATGGTATTTTCCCCCAAATCTGTGATTGTCTCTTTGTAACCAACTATAACACAAGTTTTGCTTAATTTTTTAATAACAAAGTCTTTTAAAAAAAATTCTTAATTGGGGTATATGAATTTTGTTACTTTAACACAAAAACTAAAATGTTACCTTTTCTTAGACCTTTTCTTTCTGACCTTATTTATAAAAATAATGGTTATAATTTTTCAGATGTTCAATAATATCAAACTTTGAAATACACATTATTCCCAACTTAGTCACCCATGAGTAACTGTCCTTATACAGTATGGAAACTAAATATCTCCTCTGCAATTTATTCCTACCTCGACATGGAAATATATGGACAAATACATTCTGATCCTAAATATAATGCTATTAATTTCTCAATAAATGATTTTAACTTTTCTATTTAATAACTTCATATGTTTTTTCAGGGGCAAGAGGTTTGTTTACAGAATGAAAAAGGAAACTAAGAGTCTCTAAAAAAGTTGACTATTACTATAAAATAATGATTCCCCACCCCTCCACCAAAAACAAGGAATTTAATATATTATTTCCTGGGCCGGCCCTGTGGCTTGGTGGTTAAGTGCGCGCGCTGCAATGCTGGTGGCCCGGGTT